ATGTGACACCTTTCGTCGCCATTCCTCGAGGAGCTGTTATGAAGTTAAGTTGGGCCTTCTTGGGGGTATGTTGCTCCTATTGGGCAGTTTGGGGAATCCCTCAGGGCCGTCTTGGGGCTCTGTTGGGCTGTCTTGGGGCCATCCTAGGCCGTCTTGGGGCTCTCTTCTGCCGTTTTTAGGTTTTCTTGGCCGTATGAGGGGCGTCTCGGGGCCGTCTTTGGCTGTCGAAGGGCCTTTTGACGTTGTCCGGGATCTCTCTAGAGGCCCTCTTGGGCCGTCTTGAGGCCTCCTAGGCCATCATGGGGTTTCTTGGGCCATGTTGGGGCTTTCTTGGAGGCCTCCTGGGCCGTCTTGGGGCCATCTTGTGGGCTTCCTAGGCCGTTTTGCCCTGATGGGAAATCTTCGAAGGCTACACAAGGGAAGTCCTTCAAAACCTATCAGAAATCAGTGATTGAGGCCTCTTGCCATTTGTTTGCAGAGGGATCGTGGCATCGTTGGGGACGATGCATGCAACAGTCCGCGATAAGAGGGGGTGGTGAAGATGACAGAAACCTAACAGACAGCCCGTGGCATTCTGCCAGGCCTCGACGTGCTAGGGGGCATGGTGGCGGAGTCGTGCCTAGTGTTCCAGAGGCTTGGGGATCGAGGTGGGACATTAAATTCCAGCATTTTTGCGACAGTATGTATCTCAGGGCGTTTCGCATTGCATCTGTCGATGTGCACACGGCTGAAGCAGAGCTTGCATCGATAGGTATTCGCTTGTCTCCTGCTGGTTTATAACCCCAGCTGGTTGTTAAGTCTTCGTGTGCTCTCGGCTGTGCGGGGCGCTGCGGCCCCCTGAGGATTTCCACACGGCTGACACACGTGTTTTCCCATTGGCAGCTGTATGTGTGTGTGTCGATGTGCGCGCATGTGCTGTTACACGTACCCGCTGGGCTCGCCTGCCCAACGGGGCACGTATTGCTTGTATGAGCTATCTGCGACCGTGCGAGCATGCGAAAATCATACGGGAACAGTGGTGTTTCAATTGCTTGGAGTTTTGGGCCGGCACCAGGGCCTTCAAGACGCTTGGGAGAGCCCCAGGACGATCTGTGGAGACCATATCATGGCATGTTGGAATCGCGGGTTTCGAATTACGCCCACGAGACCTCAGGAAAAATCAGGCGACGCACCCCATTAGCACTCGCGAGCGCTCAATACCCTCCTGGAATTCTGGAATTCCGGGGAATGGGGCTCCAAAGGGCATGTATGATACCCAACACAGAGAGTTCGAAGTGATTTGAGGACGCCTCACATCGTGCGTGGGGGATTTGTGACAAGATTGCATTCGAGTCGTACCGAGTTTAGCGGAAATTAGAAAAATACCATTTCGAACCCCACTCATATGGTGGTAGTCGTGGTTGGGTCGGCAACGGTGCGGCTTGCGAACACAACACAACCATCGCACCATATGTATTTGACAGGCTTGCGAAGTGTTGGAGGCATGAGGTTTCTTCATTAGAACGACTTCGTTCAATTCGCACGTGGGGGAGTTCTAGCACACACACACTCGCCGGCGACACAGATTGCGAACAAGAGCGCTGCTCAGAGACGAGTGCACCTGACCTGAGGTGTGCATCTGTTCGCCCAGTCGCCCACCGAGGTCAGCACCGTTACTGTCCTCACTATCATCGTAACGACAATCGGGTAGCACTGTGAGCAGAGACCGTCAGGCACGGAGGAGCCGTAGACTCATGTTTGACATTACGCGTATCCTCGCCAGCGTACTTGACGCTCTCGACGCGTTGCATACGTATACGCTGGCAGTACTACTCAGCTTCAGCCAGTCCCCTCCACTCGCCGGTCCGCCGCTGAGGTGCTGCGTGAGGCTCCGCACCGCCGCTTCAGATGAGGCTGCGCCCCGTCGCTTCAGGTTAATTCGTCATTGCGTGCCCCGCTTTGACTGGACCCGCCGCTGGCCCGCTCGCCTGCGGCCGCTGACGAAAAAGTATCCTCACCAGCCCATCCATTACGCAGCGAAACGAATATCTAGGAGTTTGTTTGGAGCTTCTCGGGAACGTTGGAGGGTCTGGATGGGGGGGGGGTAGAGGGGGTGTGAGGGTCTCCTGGAGCCCTCCTGCAGACGTTGGGGGTCCTTTCGGGTTCATCGTGATTGATGACCATCGAATAAAAAAAGGCGGCAGCGTGAACTACGCCCCCCCGTCGGGGCTGGAATGTTCGCCTTTGGGGGGCCCTCTCGCGGCGCTCTTGGGGCGCTCGTGGGCGCCCTCAAAAACCATCTTGGGCCCCTCTGGAGCCCCTTCTGGGGGCCCTCTAGCAGCATCTTCGAGCCGAGAAGGCGAGAAGGCGACACATAATGAACGCACAACGCTACGCTTTGGAAGGTTGTTGGCGTACTGGAGGCCTCCTTGGGGAAGATCGGGCGGCACTTGGAGCCGTCCCGGGGCGGTCTTGAGGGCAAGACATGCTGGAGGTTGTCTTAAACCATCTCGGGATATTTTGAGCGATCTTGATGGCCATCTTGGCTCCTCTGGAGCCCTCTGAGAGCTACCTGGGGCCATCTTGCGCGCTCCAACGACCTGCGCGCTCCAACGACATGCGCCCACCCCCCACCCTCCAAACCCAGGGGGAGGGGGGAGGGGGGGAACCTCCGCCCCCAAGGGGAAGAAGGTGATTAGCAGAACAAGCTCGCCACACCACTCACACCCAGAGGGCTGGTGGGATTCCCTCGCGTCGGGGGAGAAGGGAGGGCGAGCGAGGGCGAGTAGAAGGGCGACAGAGGAGGGATGGCGGGAGGAGGTGGAAAGAAGGCCGCGATCCGAGTGCCAGACGTCATTTCTTCGGTCGTAGCACGCTGCTGAAAGGTCGGCAGGCAGTGTGACATGACCGCCCCCCTCTTTTCCCCTCTGGTTTCTCTGGATTGCGGATCCTGCTGCGCAGACTGGAAACTGGAAACAGGAGGAGGAGGAGGAGGAGGAGGAGGAGGAGGAGAGCCAGACTGGCTCTCCCCTTTCTCCAACATGTCCCCTTCGAATACGACCGCCCATGGGAGCTCCGCTTCGAAGAAGGATTGCCCTCCCTCTCCTCGAGCTGAAGGGATGCGACGATGCGGGGCCAGAAAGTTCAGGGAAGTGTCCGGTAGCAGCCAGAGTCGCGCCTGGTGATCCGATTCGATGCGATCCCTTTCGCCGATCCGATTCCGATCCGATTCGGTTCCGATCCGATTCGGATCCGATTCGGATCCGATTCGATTCCGATCCGATTCGGTTCGCCAGCATATTGGCAGGGCCTGTCAGAGCCCGGCGCGGCGATCCGATGTCGATTCGATTCGGGACGATCTCGTTGGCTACCCGAACCGTTCCCGACCCGATCCGATTCCGCGACTCCCGAGCAGCCCCGCTTCGAGCAGGAACCGCCCATGTCGATTCGATTCGGGACGATCTCGTTGGCTATCCGAACCGTTCCCGACCCGATCCGATTCCGCGACTCCCGAGCAGCCCCGCTTCGAGCAGGAACCGCCCTGCATCTGGTGAGCGTTTTCTGATTCGGCGTTTCGATATTGAGCGAAAGGGGGGGGAGAAGGGGGGCGTCTGGCTCTGGACCTCCTGCTCAATCAATGCGACTGTCTGCAACAGCCCATCTGCTTGAAACAGGCGCCAAAAACAGCCAAGATCTACTCCATTGGGGGGGGTGCGAGGGCCCGCGCCGATCGGTAAAACAATGAATAAGACAACGATCGCCTGTACCACTGCGGGTGGACGAGGACCAGGACCCGGGAACTGGAACTTGGGACCGCATGGCGGAGCGCGGTTTCCATGGGGGTCCTTGGGGGGCTTCTGGCGATCTTTGGGCGACCTCAGGGCCTCCAGAGTTCGGGCGCCCCCAAGCGGTGTGGTGACCACACCGCGTGGTGAGTCAGCGGGGATTCGGGGTCACGACGCGGTTTTGGGTCTCGGGTCATTCTCCGAGGAAGTCTCTGGCGACTAGGGCCTCCAGAGTCCCAAAAACCGTGCAGTGACGGACCGCGCGGTGAGGTCGTTGGGGATTCCGAGGTCACCATGCAGTCCGTCATTGCACGGTGGCGTGGCCCCGTGTCCATCACGCAGAAGCGGCCCACGTACATTTCAGAATAGCCGCAAGACGGCACAGGCTCCCAGCGTGACCCCAGAAAGCCAAAAAAGATCACCGAGGGGCGCCCACAGGGCAGAACCAATACCCCGTCAGACGTTTGAAGGATCTTGAGAGTTTTCGCCTTCTCCTGCTGTTTGCCCGACAAGACAACCGCGCGAGGGCCCGAGAGAGCCCCAAGAGGGCCCGCCCAAGGGGCCCCCCAGACGGGCCCCAGGAGGCGCCGGGAGGGCTCCAAGAGGGTCCCCCACGGGGAGTCTTGGGGGGGGGATCTCCAGCGTGCCCCAAGACCCCCAGGACGCCGCCAAGAAGTCAAAAAGCCATGACTCGAGAAGTACCCAACCCAATCTCCACGCGAGGCAAGTATTGGCGCAAACGCCCCATACTACAGAGTTCACCGCCAGATTTGTACGACCTGCGCTGCCCTCATCTGCGCCGTGCCTCCCACGAGCCTACGAGAGCGACAACAATTGCGCATTTCGTAACCTCTCAGGAGGCCGCGAGGTCTCGGCTGGATCTGCGTGGCCACTGACAAAGTGGCGACAGTTGCGCAGTTCGTAGCATAGCAGGGAGCAGCGAGGTCTGAAATGCGCGCGCGTGGCCCCCCACTCCGCTGGACCGCCCAGGAGCCCACGAACGTGGCGACAATGGCGTAGTTCGCAGCCACCCAGGGATCAGCGAGGTCCCGTCTGGCCCCCGGCTCGGCTGGACCTCCCAGTTGCCTACGAAAGTGGTGAAAGGTGCACAGTCCGCAGCCTCCCGGGGAGCAGCGAGGTCTCGTCTGGGTGCGCGTGGTCCCCGACGCCGCTGGACCTCCCAGGAGCCCACGAACGTGGCGCCCGCTGCGCAGTTCGCAGCCACCCAGGGGAACAGCGAGGTCTCGGCTGGGCGCGCGTGGCCCCCGACTCTGCCGTGCCTCTCGCGAGCCCACCAGGGGCCAACGAGAGCTAACGAAAGTGGCGACAGTTGTGCTCGCGGCCACCCAGGGAGCAGCGGGGTCTCGTCTGGGTGCGCGTGGCACCCGACTCGGCTGGACCTCCCAGGAGCCGGCGAAAGTAGCGCCAGTTGCGCAAATAACAGCCGCCCAGGGAGCAATGATGTCTCGGTTGCGCGCACGTATTCCCCGATTCCGCCGTGCCTCCCAGTTGCCTACGAAAGTGGTGAAAGTTGCGCAGTTCGCAGCCACCCAGAGAGTTGCGAGGTCTCCGTTGGGTGCGCGTACTCCCCGATTCCGCTGCCCCCCCACACACACACACACACACACACACACACACACACACACACACACACACACACACACACACACACACACACACACACACACACACAAACACACACACACACACGAAAGTAGCGCCAGATTCGCAGATTGCAGCCACCCAGGGAGCAGCGAGGTCCCGTCCCGACTCCGCCGAGCCTCCCATGAGCCCACGAACGTGGCGACAGTTGCGCAGTTCGCAGCCAACCAGGGAGCTGCGAGGTCCTGTCTGCTTCCGCGTACTCCGCTACGCCGTGCCTCTCGTGAGCCCACCAAAGTTGCGACAGTTACTCAGTTCGCAGCCAACCAGGGACTTGCAAGGTCCCCCCTGGGTCCGCGTACTCCGCTACTCCGCCGTTCCTCCCATGAGCCCGCGAACGTGGCGCCAGTCGCGCAGTTCGCAGTCCCACAGGGAGCTGCGAAGTCCCGGCTGGGTCCGCGTTCTCCGCTATTCCGCCGTGCTTCCCAGGAGCCCACGAAGAGGTATGAGGGGGGAAGCAGGAGGAGGAAGAAGAGAGGGAGTGGATACCAAAATGCTCTATGCAAAACGAGAACCCAGCGCAGGAGGGTTGGGAATACAGCTAGGGAGGAGGTAGGCGGAGAGGAGAAGGGAGGCGGGAGGAGAAAAAAGACGAGGAAGAGGAGGAGGAGGAGGAGGAGGAGGAAGAGGAAGAGGAGGAGGAGGAGGAGGAGGAGGAGAGGGGAGGATGACAGCGTGTCCCCGGTTCCGTTCGGTTCGTTTCGGTTCGGGGGAAATTGGTTCGGTTTAATACGGCTCCGGTTTCGGAGCTGTTCGAGGCGGTTCCCATTCAGAGGGCGGTTCCGTTTCAGCCGGTTCCAGTTCGGTTCTCGGTTCTTGCAGATGACGTGTGCGCGTGTGCGTCTGCATGATCATATGGAGGCGTTTGGAGGTTCAGTTCAACCAGGAGTCAGGAGGAACTCTGGGGCCAGGGGAGCCACTGGGCCCAGCTACCCGACGAGCCAGGGGAGCCACTGGGCCCAGACGTTACGCATGGTGCCCTCGACGGACCAGTCGACAGCATCGCGCCCCCTGGACCACGGGGCTCTGGCGACGGCGGGCGACTCCTCAGCGCCAGAACGCTTGGACTACGGTCTGGGACACTACGGACCACTCACTCCTGGCATGGGTCCTCCCAAAGGACAACTGGGAAGGCAGGGGCGCCGCCCGCGCCTCGCCGGGCGCGAGCAGGAGGGTGGGAGCCCAGCCCCGGCCGCCGCCCCCAGCTCGGGCCTGCAGGCCCCGAGGGCCCCTGGAAGCCGAAAACGCATTTTCGAATCCAAAAATACGATTCGAGCTTGTCAGGAGGAAAAGAAACACACAGACACAATTAATCCTCGATTTGCCAGAAAATATGGGAAAATATGGGAAGTGGGCGGGAAGACAAAAATCCAGAAAATATGGGAAAATATGGGGCATCTTTTTATTTGTGTGTATTTATTTGTGTGTCCTGGGGCCCCTTCAGCTTGTCCGCCGCCCTCCGGTCCCCAGTGCAGCCCTGGAGGCTCCGAAAGCCACCTGGAGGCCCAAAACGCACGTTCGAACCGTCCAAGAATACGTTTGGAGCTCTTCCGCCGCCCGGAGTTTTTCCGCCGCCTTGCTATCCCCAGGGCAGCCTTGGAGGCCCCGAAAACCACTTGGAGGCCCGATTTGAGTTTTTCCGCCGCTCTTCCGTCCCCAATTCGGCCCTGGACAAGCAGCAAAACAGGACGAGGGAGCCGGGGGGCGCAGAGGAGGAGTTGGGCGCGGGCGGGATGGACCTAGCGCAAGAGTGGGCGCTCGCATCGGGCAGTTCCCAAGGGTCCACCTCCACGACCAGTTCCCGGTTCGGGTCCGGTTCGGTTCCACCGCCTCCGGTTCGGTTTGGTTTCGGTGCACGTCGGGTTTTTGACGGGTTCCGGTTCCGTCGGATCTCCTTCGGTCGGTTCGGTTCTGCGGTTCGCGGTTCGGTTCTGTGGGTCACTGGGAGGAGGAGGAGGAGGAGGAGGAGGAGGAGGAGGAGAAGGAGGAGGAGGAGGAGGAAGACGAGGACGAGGAAGACGAGGAAGACGAGGAAGACGAAGAAGACGAGGAAGACGAGGAAGACGAGGACGAGGACGAGGAGGAGGTGGACGATGAGGAGGAGGAGGCGGAGGAGGAGAAGGAGGAGGAGGAGGAGAAGGAGGAGGAGGAGGGATGAGGAGGATGAGGAGGATGAGGAGGAGGAGGAGGAGGAGGAGGAGGAGGAGGAGAGTGACCATCCCCTCGCGCAGGAGAGAGGGGCTGGCCTGTTCCAGGGCGTCGCGGGCGTGAGCGGAGTGGGCCCCCGCCCGCGCCGCAGTGGCACCGCTCTGGGCCGCTGGCGCCGTGTTGCCCACAGCCGCGTCGAGGGGGGAGGCGGGAGGGGCTCCGCCCCTCGCGAAAGGCGCGCCCAGGGGAGGAGGACGAGGAGCAGGAGGAGCAGGAGGAGCAGGAGGAGGAGGAGAAAAGGAGGATGAGGATGAGGAAAGGGAGTCCGTAGCCATTATGGCTCATGCCACCCAACAGCGGATGACAGCTCTATTGCTCAAGCTAGCTAGACACCATGGCTTGCAGCGGGGAGGTCTCTAGCGTGGAGGTGGATTACGGGACGGGTCGCAGCACTGGTGGCCCGAGGATAAGCATAGCTGAGAGGTCGGCCGCCGCACGGCAGACTCGTGCGAGCGCTGATGGAGCCATCAACCGCCTCCAGGCTCGGCCAGTGAAGCTAGAGGAGCAGTCTCCGGCACTCCGGGCGGAGGTCACAGACGAGCTGCACGCGAGGCTGATGTTGATCGCACCGGCGCTGCAGGCCCAGGTGGAGGACATCGAGGTGCCCATCGTAGCGCGCACGCGACGCAATGCAGCTGCCCATGTTTTCGACGTGCCAGCGGCAGCGATAGCGGGCGCCTCGCAGCGCGAGCTGAACGCCATGCAGCGGGGCCGATCCAAGGCACCTTGCGTGGGCGCGAAGGTTCTCGAACCTGGCGAGTGCCAGCCGTTGGACCCCACCTCCTGTGTTCGGGGACGCCCGCCTGCAGCCCGATGCAGGGCAGGCCGCTGTAGTCAAGGAGTTCGGCATGAGATGCACATGCGGCGCACTCGTCTTCTCGCCGGTCGCGGGGCTGCCTGCAGCGGCGCCGTGCCGTACAGGGACGCCTCGGTTTGTGGCGGGAGTGGACTGCAAAGGAAAGCAGCGGAGTTCGTCCCTTCTAAGAAGATTCCCATTTCAGTACGATTAGCCGCTTCGATTCGCATGGGTCGTTGAAGCAGCCCTTCACAGCCAAGCTGGAGCGGAGACTGGCCAGGGAGAGGCTGGATTCTGGAGTCGCTCCACGCGACGTGCCACCCATGCGAGATCGACGGGGCTTGGAAGCAGCCCTTCGAAGCCAAGCGCGAGAGACCTGTTGGCCAGGGAGAGGCGAATTCCAGGTACGGTCGTGGAGGCTGATATCGGTGCCCTGCTCAAGGAATTGGGCACAATCATCAGCACAATCTCTGAGTGAGGCCATTTGTTCACGTTTCCCTCACTGCCCTGGTGAAAGCTCGCCGGTTTGCCGCATGTATTCGCCGGGGCGTCCGTGATGCGATGGGCGCTGTGGCTCGGGGCGCCCGTCCGCGGAGCTGCGGCTCGTGCGCGGCGCTGTGCTCAGGCCGCCCGTCGCGCGTGAGATGGGCTCGTGTGCGGCGCTGTGGCTCGGGCTCGTCCGCCCGCGGAGCTGAGGCTCGAGTGCGGCGCCGTGCTCGCCCGCCCGCCCGCGGAGCCCGTCCTGCTGGGCGACAGCGGGCAATCATCTCGGTCAACTGGCGGGGCTTTGCCCCGAGAGTGGTTCCGGTGGCCTTGTGCCCTTGCGGGGAGAAGATCTCCCAGCGCGACTGAGTTTCAGGAGGGGAGAGAAACACACAGAGACACAATTGATCGTCGACCCCCCAGAAAAGATGGGAAAGTATTGGAAGTGGGGGGGGAAGACAAAGACCCAGAAAATACGTGACAGTATGGGGGGATCTTTTTATGTGTGTGGTATTTATTTGTGTGTCCTGGGGCCCCTTCAGACTTGCCCCAGTTCGCAGGATCATGAGCTTCACTTTCTGTTTCAGCGCCGCCCCATCGGTGGAACGCCCTGCTCCCCCTTGGGCTCTGGGCCCCCCCCCTTGGCGCGCGTCATTTTCATACCTTTTAATCCCACAACAGGTGGGAGAGGGTTCAGGGATTGATTCGCCTCTATTTGCCCTGTGTGTAGGAGGGGAAGGAGGAGGAGGAGGAGGAGAAGGAGGAAGAGGAGGCGGGAGGGGCTCCTCCCCTCGCGACAGGCGCGCCCAGGGGGGGAGGGGGGGGAGGCAGATGGGCCAGGCGACGAGGTCTATGCACAGGAGCCCCGGGGCAGGGCAGAGCCCCGTGGCAGGGCCCTGCCAGGGGCCAGGAGCTGCCTCCTCCTCGTCATTGTCGCAACGTCAAGCCTGACGCTACGACAATGACTCCTCGTTCTTGTCGCAAAGTCAAGCTTGACGCCACGACAATGACTAACCCCTCCTCCTCGTCCTCGTCAAAACGTCAAGCCTGACGCCACGACAATGACTACCCCCTCCTCCTCGTCCTTGTCGCCACGTCAAGCCTGACGCCACGACAATGGGTCACGACGGGGTGATTGATCATTGCCAGCGATATCATCGCTTTGTCGCAACGTCAAGCCTGACACCGCGACAACGGGTCACGGGGTGATCAGTCCCAGCAATATCATCCTTTGTCGCAACGTCAAGCCTGACGCCGCGACAATGGGTTAAATGATGATCAGTACCAGCGGTACCACCCCTTGTCGCAACGTCAAGCTTGACGCCGCGACAATGGATCACGTTCGATTATATGTTCGACGTTGTTGTAGCGACGGCCTGCTGTGCAGCAGCAGCCCATCGGACGGCTGTAGGTCTCAACTCACAGAAAGTCTCCGCCCATACGCCTTCGAACACCAGAGACTTCTTCCACCGCGGGCTGTGGTCACATGAGTCCCCGCCTGCCCACGGGGCCGCCCGCGGGTCTCCGCGAGGGATTCTTATTTCCGCAAGTGACGAAAGGTTCAGGCGGCGGTCCATCCATGAATGTCCGATTATGGGTATGGGCATCCTTCCGTCTATTATGTGCATGTATCCCTGTTTCGTTTTGAGTGGGGTGATGGTTTGCGTTATCAATTTGGGACGTGGAGGAGGGTGTAACGGTGGTGGGTAGTAGTGGTGGTGGGGTTTCCTATCTAGTTTCCTTTGGGGTGCATTTGGCCAGCCACAGGTCCTTCCTGGGGTCGTCGTGCGAGCAGACGCTGCAGCGCTTCCTCCGGGGGGCCATCGATCAGTTCATCGAGGAACACGTTCGCAAATGCGCGTCTGGCGAGTGCGCGGCCTCCTCGAAGATTCCCATCCTCTTTGGCCTGGCCCAGGCGCCCGCGTCGAGGAGCTTCGCCGCGAGCATTCCGATATTCCGGAGGATGGAGCTGGCGACGGCAAGGGCGCGAACGACGATCCCTTTGCGAAGGAGGAAGCAGTTCTGAAGTATAAGAAGACCATGGCCCAGATTACCTGGGAGGAGTGCACATTTGCGACGTGGTCGTCATGGCCAAGCCAGGAGGGCGCGCTGCCGGGTTCGGGACGGTCCTGGCCAGGGACTCGTGGATATGCGCAGATTTCGTCGCCCCAAGGGGCTGGGCCTCCTCAGAAGACAGACGGCCTCTCAGAGGGCTGGAGAGCTTCTGAGTAGCACCGCCGCCTTCTGCGAAGGCCCACCCCCTCTCACGTCTCCCGTCGGTGCGCCGCCGATCCGCATCCCCCCACCTGGTGTTTGGGCCGGGCTCGCGTCGCAGGGTCACCCCGACGTGTGCCCGCAGACCTGCGCCGTCTGGAAGTCGCGCGCGTCGTGACATTGGCGATTCACGCGGCGGCTGGATCCACCTTGAATCGGGCACGTCTCTCCACAGGAGGAATATTCAAAAACAGTGCAAAAATAGTCTGGGGACGATTTTAGACAAATGTTTGACTGTTTCTGCATATGCGCTGAGTGTGTTTTATTCTTCATCCAAAATCCGCCTGCAGGAGGTCGTGCCCGACCTAAGCTCCCCCGCAGCGCGGCGCATCTGCGCAGGGGCACGAGCCAGTTCCGCACCGCAGTTGCCGCGCAGCAGACCTGCCCCGCCCCCGTCGGCGGCGGCAGCGCCCACGCGCGTGTGCGCCGCCCGCCCGCGAGGGCACGGTGGGCGCGCCGCTGCGGGGGCGGCGGCGGCATGAGGACAAGGAGGACAAGCACAAAAAGGGGGTGGGTGGGCACGTCGTGGACACCGCCGCGGCGGCCGCGCTGCCCGCTGGACGGCACGGGGGGGGGGGGCTGGGCGGCGCACTCGCGCGCGACAGCGGCGGAGGCAGGGCACGGGCCTCCCACTCCGCGCCGCGCGTCTGGCCCGCGGCGCTGCGCAGAACGCCACGCTTCCGAGGCGTTCCGGCCTGCCCGACGGCGAGACGGCAGGGGAGGTCCGGGAGGGGAGAGAACCACCGACACAATGAACCGTCCATCCCCGGGAAAAGATGGGAAACATAGGGGAACTGTGAGGGGGGAAGACAAAAAAAAATGCGAGAGAGGATGGGGAATCTTGGGATGTGCCTAATTGGGTGTGTGTGTGTGTGGTGTGTGGTGTGTGGTGGTGTGTGGTGGTGCGTGGTGTGTGGTGGTGTGTGGTGTGTGGTGGTGTGTGTGGTGTGTGGTGTGTATAATGTGTAGTGTGTGCGGTGGGTGTTGGGTGCTGGGTGCGCTGTGCTGCTGTGCTGCTGTGCTGCTGTGCTGCTGTGCTGTTGTGCTGCTGTGCCGCTGTGCCGCTGTACCGCTGTGCGTTGTGCGCTGTGCGCTGTGCGCTGTGCGTTGTGCGCTGTGCGCTGTGTGCTGTATGCTGTGTGCTGTGTGCTGTGTGCTGTGTGCTGTGTGCTGTGTGCTGTGTGCTGTGTGCTGTGGGTTGTGGGTTGTGGGTTGTGGGTTGTGGGTTGTGGGTTGGGTGTTGTGTGTTGTGCGTTCTGCGTTCTGCGTTCTGCGCTCTGCGTTCTGCGTTGAGCGTTGAGCATTGAGCGTTGAGCGTGCGTTGTGTGCCCTGTGTTGTGTGTTGATTGTTGTGTGGTGTGTAGTGTGGGTTGTGCGCTGTGCGTTCTGCGTTGTGTGGTGTGCGTTGTGCGGTGTGCGGTGTGCGGTGTGCGTTGTGTGGTACGTGTTGTGTGTTGTGTGTTGGTTGTGTGGTGTGTGTGTCGTGTTTTGTGTGATGTGTGGTGTGTGGTGTGTGTGGTGTGTGGTGTGCGGTGTGTTGTGTGTTGTGTGGGGTGTGGGGTGTGGTGTGTGCTGTGTGTGTGCGGAGTGTGGT